TGTAGCAAATTTTAAAACAATGATTTACTCACCTTTCAGTCAGAAATGGTATTTTCTTTAAGCAAACATATTGCGTTCTTTTCTGATTCAAATAAGAAAAAAAGAAAATCCCTATAAGCTATTTTATCTGTCTGCAATTGAGCAATGTGTATACTCTAATTTTCATTTTCCTAATTGATAAAGCTGATGAGTCTTTTTTGAATTATTTCTTAGTCACATTTATATCTCTGAATGAAAATGCTCAGTTCAGCACCCCATTTGTAATTGACTCACTTGTCTTCATGACTTTGGTTTTGGGGTTCCTTTTTATTCCAGGTAGTAATCTTGGCCATGTATATTACTGGTTTAATATTTCTCCCATTCTGTGAGCTTCTTCTTCACGTGGGTGGCTGCTTTCTTAGCAGAATTTTTTGGATTTTATAATTATTTTTTTTATTTCAGGTTTATAAATTTGGGCTCAGTTCAAAAACAGAGGCTACATTATAAAATGTCCTTCCTATATGTATAACTTGCAGGGCGCTGTCTATTTCTTATAACAAATGCAGCATTTCTGGTTTTGCATTGAGGTCTTTGAACATTTTGAATTAATTTTTGTACAACCATACAGACAGGCCTGATTCTTTTCTTCTTCACGTGGGCACCCTGTTTTCTGTTCCATTTGCTGAACATACTATCGTTTCTCTAATTTATGTTTTGACTGCTTTGTCAAATATCAAATGGTAGTACTTAGGAGGACTCATGTTCAAGTGCTGTTTGATTCCAACAGGTTTAGTTGGTTTAATTTTGTTACAGTATTATGCTGTTCTGTTTATTATTCTAACTCTGTGAAATATGGACTGGCAATAATCTCAGCATTTTTCTTTTCAGTCAAGATTCTCTGAACTATCTATGGCTTTTCAGTCAGTCCCCACTGTTAGCCACATTCAGAGTTCGGTTTGATCTCATGCTCCTTCAGTCCAGGTCCAGCTGGATTTGGTGAGCTCCCATTAGAACAGGCACACTGTCTCAGTGGGTGGACCAACCCCTCGTGGTCCAGACACTGGGACTTGTTTCTACTGCAAGTACTGGCTTTTTGGGATCCTTGTCTATTTGGATGCAAAGCTTCCTAGTCCTGGATATAGGGGGAAGGGCCTTGGACTTCCCACAGGGCAGGATTCCCTGCCCTCTCTTAAGATGGGAGGGGGAGGAGGGAGGGGGAGTGGAAGAGCAGGAGGGAAATGGGAGGAGGGGAGGAAATGTAAATTTTTGAATGGAAAAATTTTTTAAAAAAGAAAAAAAGAAAAAAAGGAGCTTTGTGTAATAGAATATAGACTATAGAGTAAACTAAATTCATAGCACCTAAACTGTCTTTAGGATTACAACTCTGTAAATTAGTACTATCACTATTATTCAGAGCTATTTTATATTTCAAGAAGTTCGGAAGTGTTACAACCAATCTCAACCTGGACGAAGGAATGAAAGTTGTCATGTCATACGCTATATTCAATTTGTGTTCCTGAATATGTAAACAGTATTAGTAAGTAATATGATACAACTATTACACTTCAGAAAATTAAAAAATATATATAGCAAACCAAAGCAGAAACGAATATTGAAAAACAAGTAAAAAGTGTGTTAAGAAAGCTGTGCCAGCTTCTGATGTCCCCACGGCAGGCATATCCTCGTGACTGCTACTGCGTAGCTTAAGTATAGCAAAGTAACTATGAGGTTCAAATATTTACCAAACATAGGGAGACATTAAAAAAACTAATGATATATTAATCTGCAAGTCATTTCAACAGCCATTTTTTAAATAAAATCTATTGAAAAAACAGTTAAAAAAAAGAAAAAGACAAAAACAAAACAAAACAGAAGATTTCTGAATTATCTTGAGTATTTTGTGATTCTCTTTCTATTTCAAGATTTTTTTTTCTTTCTGTGAAGATTGAAATGAGAATTCTGATTGAAAATGTGTTGGATCTGTAAACTATTTTTGGTAGAGTTGTCATTTTTATATCAATTCTACAAAATGACTGTGAGAAACTGTAACTAGTGTGTTACACATGAAGTTAAATAGTGAAACTTCAGATATAATTAATAGAAGAGAATTATACCACCCTAAAATATATCCTACTTGACTGGAGAGATGGCTCAGTGCTTAAAAGTGCATGATACCCTTGCAAGTTCAGGTGGAACCATAGTGAATTCAATACCTTCTCTTGGACTCTATCGCTACTATTTCTATCTCCCTCCAAAATAATGTAACTCTGGCTCTTTTTCCTGCTCTTGAGATTCTTTTCCTCCTAGTTTTTTGCCCTTGTCCAGCATCAATATGAGGGCTTTTGTCTTGTCTTATTACGTATTATCTTGTTCTGCTTGGATATTGTCTTGGAAAGATCTGTTTTTAAAAAAAAAAAATAAATAATTGGAGAGGGTGTATATCTGGGAGGAGGGAAGTTGGGGGAACTAGGAGAAATGGAGGGCTGGGAAACAATGTTCAGGATGTATTGCATGAGAGAAGAATCTATGATCAATAAATATTTTTTAAAGTAAAATAATTCCTTGAAAATATTTTGTGGTTATGAAATTTGGGTGACAGTGAAATTTACTACAATTAAAAATGCCTATTCAAAAATAATTTATCCATAAAGATCGTTAACTTTATTACTGACCAAAGAGAAGTACTTTCGAAAGTAAAGCTAGGAATGGATCTTCAGATTATAGAGAATAAACAAATTTATCATGTATACTCACTAAGATCTATCATCTATCTATCTATGATCTATCTATCTATGTATCTATGTATCTGTCTATCATCTATCATTATCTATCTATCTATCTATCATATATCTATCATTATCTATCTATCTATCTATCTATCTGTCATCTGTCTATCTACCTATCTATCTCTCTATCTACCTAAACGCAAATAAGAGTGTACATTTATATGTATATGTATATGTGCTTGTATATACGCATATATGTTCATACATGCACACATACATATGTACATATGCCTGTATATGTATCTATATGTGTGTACATATGTATGTATATGTACCTGTATGTGTACCAATATGTATATACATATGCGTATCTAGTAGTATCTTTACTGAATTAAATAAAGTTGTGAACACTTCCAGCTACATGTTTGCTAAGTATGGTGATGTATTTTCAGAGGAAAGTATAGGAGAAGATATTAGTTGGTTACATCAAAGCCATGGGGAAATGATTTCACAACCTTCAGTCCCACATGACAGCTGGCATAATAAAATCGCACTGTAACAGTTTTCAGGCAACTAGGAGCTGCTCTTCTCAGGTGGGTTTCTACATGTCCGTATGCTCAGAAACAGGGTAAAAATGAAGCAGTTTCAATTTTGCTTAGTTAGAAACATTTTTTAGTGATGATTTTATTGCCTACTCAATTTAAAAGATTATTAAGGCCAATGAACGAATATTATTTTTTAAACAGAATCAATATTGTCCTACAACTTTTTAGTATCAGCAGCATAGAATTTTTACTGTTTTATTCTAACCTTACAATGTAAGACAGTTCCGTTATTTTTTTTTTGGTCAATTATGTGGATTTAAGTGATTTAAATATCAAATAAAAGCTATTGTCTTATTGTGTCCTAATAATGCTTGCAATGTTTATACATCATGAAATACTTTTCATATTATTTACACAATCTAAATAATGCAAAAATAATCGTTTTTGAAATTCTATTGCTCACTAAACACATAGAAATATGCAAATACATATAAGAAAAATATATATTAGAAATGCTCATTTGCATGTAAGAAAGCAGATGTGTTTAAGAAAATTTATTGTGCTCCATCCTGATTGCATTTTTTAGTGTTAAGAAAATGTAAATAGTTAAACCCAGCTGTATGCGATAATTTTTTTTTTGATGCTGCTTGGTTTTAGCCATCCAACTTGTCGAAAGAATTATACTTTGGTCCCATAACACTGATAATGATGGGTAAGGAGTACTATTGCAAATATAACATATTCTAATAGCAATGAGCAAATAAAAGTTAGCTTCTGTCTCAGTAAATTCTAACATAATATAACATAGACCAAGAAAAATGGCTAGTGTTTAAACTATATAAATACAAACAACAAAAAAGTCAATATATTCTATATTTAGGTATATTTGTGCATGCACGGC